CTCCATTTTCTGTCTACACTTGTGGTAGGTAACTTTCCTGATATTTGGGGAGGGGAGCACACACCAAAAATAAAGTGTGGAGGGTAGATCCTGGGATTTGTACTTTGTGACGGCACCAGAGCTCCCTGAAAGAGAGTTCTAAATTTCTCCCAAAACTACACATCCCAGGATTCCAAAACACTGAGCCATGGCAGTTAAAACAGTATCAAACTGCATTAATTCTGCAGTGTAGACACATCTGAAGCTATTTTTTTTTTTTTAGGGGGAGCTATTTCCCTGGTCTATTCTAAGTGTCCCCTCTTTAGCCTTTGGTTCTAAAGATGAAAGGAGGTCAACTTGCAAAGGCATGTAGCACAAGGGTGTATTTCACAGATAATTTGTCCAGATCTGTCATTTTCCTGCAAATGTACAAAGATTTCCGCCTTCCTTCCTTCCTTCTTGGGGAAGAACTGCTACCAGTTGGACTTCCATGATATTTTTGACTGCCAGAAAAATAATGCAAATGCTCTTGTTAACTCTCCTTTTTGGAAGAAGTTGGACCATTGTGTCAACTCCTGGGAAGTACTTTCTTTTCCAAATAATAATAATAAAAAATCTACATGTGTATCAGGTTAACACCATTTATCTGCCTTTTCCAACGCACAACTTTATACAAAGTCAGGCTGATAAACCTGTTCTGTTTCCCCCTCCCTTCCAATGCATTTCTCTGCCATGTATTCACATTCATTTACTAAACTTGCTGAATTAACCAGTTTCTGTGTGATGTTCCTGGCTTAATGTTTAAGTTTTATAAAGAGATGTTGTTTTCTAACTCTGGTTTGTCATGTTTCAAATGGCCCCAAGCGGCCTTTTATGAAGGACTGGATTGAACCACCCATTTGGAAATAAATCTATAAAAGGACCCATCTGTATCAAGGTTTTTCTCTCCCTTTCTTCTTTTCTCTGGAAGACAGGGGTTGCATTTGGGGGTGAAAACCAAGAACAGCTTTTGTTTCCCTGAAGAGCTGAAGGCAGTTTGAAAAAGGAGGCTACTCCTTTGCCTCCTTGGGAAAGAAGTTTTATGGAGGTTTTTTGCATGTGTGTGTGTGAGAGAGAGAAGGAGCGAGAAAATACCAAAGTGTGTGTGCATGTGTGTGTGTGTGTGTGTGTGTGAAAGTAACACAGAGAACATACAAAATTGTGTCCACGTGTGTGTGTGTGTGAGAGGGGGGGGGAGGAGGAGAACATACAACCTGATTTCAAAATTTTACTTCCATCTGGACCTCAGTGTGTCAGTCCCAGGTCTAGTTCTTACTGAAGATCTATGGGTCTGTCTGACATTTCATCGAATTGCAGGGTGACAGAGTTGGAAGGGCCTTTTAGTCTGACCCATTGGGTCATGCAGGAAGACACAGCTAAAGCCCTCCAGAAAGATGCCCATCCAACCTCTGCTTAAAGACCTGCAAAGATGGAGAGTCCATCACCCTTGGAGGCCATCCATTCCACTGTCAAACCCCAGTATAACTTGATATTATTGGTTTATCTTCTAGTCTCTAGAGCGGCAGAAAACAAGCTGGCTCCATCGTCAACATGAAATCCTTCAGATATTTAAAGACGGATGCTTGGTCACCTCTCACTTTTCTCCTTTTGAAAGCTAAATATACCTAAACCCCCAAAATCTTTCCCCGTAAAGCTTGGTTTCAAGACCTTTGATTATCTTGGTCACCCTTCGCTGGACATAATCCAACGTATCTATATCCTTCTTGAACTGTGGTGCCCAGAAGTGGTCACAATATTCCACGTGCGGAATAGATGGATGACCTTTCATACAAACAATAATCCATATGCATAGAATGATTAGTATTTCAGGGAGAAGGTGCAATGTAAGTTATCTATGTGCAGGGATATTGTTCATGCAACACCCACTGAGTCATGCAAACCTATGCTTCCATGCAACCTGGACTGCACAGTCTTCATGCACCACACAACTCTGGACCACACAATCTTCACATTATTCCCTGTGATTGTCTCCACCCTAAACAACATTGCTCTCCCTTGTTTTTTTTTTTTGGGGGGGGGAAATACAGCTGAAAAGTGGGGATTGAGGGGACTGCAGATCTCTCTCACTGGGTGTTATTCTATTGCCCCCTTTCCTCTGCTTCTTCACAGGTTTTGCAAGGTGGTGGGTAACTTGGAAGCAAAGTTGGGTTTGCAAAGGTCTCATGGGTGCAATGGCTCCAGACCCCTCAAAGGTCAGAGGCCCAGTGTTGAAGGAAAAAGGTGTCCTCACCTCTGCAGTTACCTCCCAAATCTTCCAATGTTTCCAGGTTTTAACTAAGGCCTCAGAAGAGCTATCCAAGGTCCTGAAACCTATCCTCAATATTGGTTCAGCCCCTTGGACAGCTCCTCTAAAACTATAGTTAGCTCTCCATATCCATGGATTCTCTATCCAAGGATCCAAGCATTCACAGCTTGTGTGTGTGTGTGTTTCCCAAAAGCAACATTGTATATAAGGGACACCATTTTACTATGCCATTGTATTTGATGGGACTTTAATATTCACAGATTTTGGTATCCATGGGGCCCCCTGAAACTAAACGCCCAGTAGATAACAAGGGCCCACTGTATACCAGACCTGTCCCACTTACATAGAAGACACACACTTTTAATGTTTAATATGCAGATAAAAGTGCTCTATTTTTTAAACTGCTCCAGGAACCTAGTTACCTTAATCGGCCCTTGGCTGGAAGTCCTAAACCTCCTCCCTTTGCATTTTCAGCAGGGCTGGGAAGTAGGAGAGGTGGTAGGAAGGGGCTATGGAAGAGACTGGTGGGCCAGATGGGATTGTCCTACCTATGGGCTACATACAGCCTACGGACCAGCTGCCCTTCTACCTTGAAGTGGAGATTTTATGTTGTTAGAAGTGAGCGGAAAGTAATATTAAATAATCATTTAAGATTAAAGACCATACTAAAACTCTTACCAGAATAAAGCTGAAAATGCCATCAGTGATTTTACTCAAGTCTGTCCCCCCCATTTTTTGTCTTCACCTTGAGAAAGAAGGAAATATTGTAGTTGCATGGAGTTTTTTGGAAACTCTATTTCTCACCCACCCCACCAAAAACCCTTCTTTTGGTTTCCCCCTCCCTCCATTATAATCACACTTATTCCACATCCGTATTTCTTTAGTTTCCTGATTCCTGGGTGGATCTCTTCAAAAGCCCAGGGAAAATTCCATATACAGGTCTAGTGCAGAACACAGGAGGACCATATGCATGCAAAGACAACCAGTCCCTTTCCAAGCTTTCCTTACTGTTCCTTTGTTTGTAATCTTTTAATCTTGGAATGAACTAAACTATAATGTTCTAATAATGAACAAAAATAAACCAAGATCCCTGTAGGCTTTTACATTCATTAAAAAATCTGCTGGAAAGTGTAACATTTGTTGGCTCTCATTGAATGAACTGGCAACATAATCACTTAATTCTTGGAATTAAGTCCAGTTTAAGTCAACCAATTGTGTGTGTGTGTGTGTGTGTGTGTGTGTGTGTTACCAGTTTTCTTTAAAAAATTTCTAACTTCACTGATATTAATTTGCGTGTCATCCTAACAGTGTCTGCAATCCAACATTTCAAGCATCACAAGCTCCCCACCTCTATTGTAAGAATCAAAGCATATGGTTTTATTGGCAGCTGATACAAAAATGCTCCACAATAAATAAAATGTAGGATAATAGTTCTAATCTGCTTGATAGTATCCTAATATAGAACAACCACCCTTCACCAAAACAGCTTTCCTTTTGAATTTAATAAAATCGTGTCTGGCGGAAGCAGAGATGGAGGCATGCCACATTGGTGTCCCCGCTAAAAGCTACTTTGACTGTAACCAAATGTTAACCCCAGACTAAACATTTGCATTGATCTGTCTTCCAAAATTAACACTACCCAGGGGTGCAAAGTTTCAAAGACTGGTGGTATTTTCCCCCAATTATTAAACGATAGTTATGGCTTGGGCTGAATTTTTACCCTTCCCTACTTACCCTACCCTTGCAAAGTTTCCATTCATTTTCCCCCCTCCTCTCCCAGCCATTTCCTTAACTTGCCTTCTCAACTTGATCTAAATGTTTATTTAATAATTCTGAAAGCGCTATTAAAGCTTCCTGGGTTTAGATGTTTGCTAAACACCCTGTCATTTGTACTTTGGTTGAGAATGGCTGGGCGGTGGTGGTGGGATGAGGGTTTCGACCCTTTCGAGGAGGGTGAGAAATGCGCTTGTCACTCCGCAGACCTGCCCTCTTCTTCTGACCCCACTCCACCCCCCCAATAACCTTCCCAAGATGGGCCCACCAGCCCCACGGCTCAATACTCACCCCAAGTGTTCCTCAAAGGGAATTAATGGATGGTGAAGGGATTAGGACTGTCAGATCAACCTCCAATTAAGAGGGCAGGGTCAATGTGGTGGCTTTGGCTGGGAGCACATATGGCTACCATTAGCCGGTCCATGGCTCGGCCTCAGGTGGGGCCACTGTGGCAGCTTTTACCATCTCTCCTTCTCCTTCTCCTTCTCCTTCCCTCTCTCTGACTTAAAAAATCAATGGACATCTTCAGTATTTGTCCTAATGCTACAGGTATACTTCAGAGGAAGGAATTGGCAAAAGCACTTCTGAGTATTCCCTGCCTTACTCATTGTCGACATGGGCCAAAAAGCCCATTCCCCCACTTCCCCCATTCTGGTATCATCCTGTTTAGATGACACACAGCCCAAATCCTGATTCTAGTTTGAGCAGTCCAGATAATATCCAGCATGTTCTGCACCAGGACTAAGGGACTGTTGTTGTTGTTGTTGTTGTTGTTGTTGTTGTTGTTGTTGTGTGTCTTCAAGTCATTGCCAACTTATGGTGAACCTAAGGCAAACCTATCATGGGGTTTTCTGGGCAAAATTTGTTCAGAGAAGGTTTGCAATTGCCTTCCCCGAGGCATATGAGAGCATATGACTTACCCAAGTTGACCCAGTGGGTATCATGGCTGAGCAGGGACTCGAACCCTGATCTCCAGAATCATACTCCAGAGTTCAAACCACTATGCCACAGCAGCCTTAGAATGGTTTAAATATATATATATATATACTGGTTGCTCTGGATCTTCCAGGCCTAGGGTGCTGAACATACTCTGCAAGACTTGCATCCAGGAGCAGATAATTTCTCTGAAGAATTTAAAAGAGGACAGTTTCCCTCCCTCTCCCTTTTCTCTTGGTCTTTCGATCTTTCTCTTGGAGAGAGAAAATGCCCTGGGCATTGGTGGCCACAAAGCCCTTTTTTTGGGTTCAATCCCCCTTGTCACTAACACAGACAATTTTTGTCACAATAAACTGCTCCGAATGGTTAATCTCCCTGGGTAACTGTGGGGAGATTAGATTCTGCCCCTGCCTTTTTGCTGGGTGACTGCCTCTGAATGGGTACGGGTGCCCCCCATTTCCTGCTCCCTGGAAGGCTCCTGAAGGGCCTTTGTCCCCATGAAATCCTAAGGCTTTTTTGAGCATCTCGGTAAAGAGGAGGAACAGGCCCCGGGTGATACAGGACAAGAGGCCGCTGCTGTGCCAAGAGGTTCCCTGGGGCTGGTGCCCACTCAGCTCTCGCACACAGCTCCTTGGGAGGTAGTAGTTTTTGCCCTGTTGTCAGGGTGAATAGATGTCCTCGCCACAAAGGAAGACTTTACAAAATAAAAGCTAAAAACACTAGTGGAAATAAAAATTCATTTCATACGGTTTATTTACAGCTATATGATGAAGTCTGCATCTGCACTGCTGACATAATCTGGTCTGACACTGCTTGAACTGCCATGGCTCTGCTCTGGTGCCACAACAAGCCACAGTTTGTAAAATTCCATAGCATTGAGCTGTGGTGTCAAACTGGATTATTCCTGCAGTGTGGGTGGATCCGTAGACTGCATTTTATTATGGACTCTATCATATTTTTCTGATGAAGCTTCATTAAAATGCCTTGCTGGCTTGCAAGATACTTCCAGAACTCTGAGTAACACAAGGACTTGGGCTTTACTAGCAACAAACCCTTGACAGTCTTTAAATTCTCCTTTCGTTTGCCCATTGTGCTGAAATTAAGAGGGAAAAAACCCTTTCCACATTTGCTTTGTGTCCCTAAGTGGCCCATTGCCTGACACGCTTACCGTACTGTCCTTTTCTCCTCCAAGAAACAAATGCACCTTGAGCTCTGGGTGCAAGTCTTATCTGCTGATGCTCCTAGAATATAAGAGCTTTAGAAGGATCCATCATATCTCCCTATTTGCAGCGAGGACAGGTTTGCCAAGGGGAACAACCAGCATGGTATTACTCAATGGGCTTCTTAGTCATGCTCAAAATGGAGGACATTTTGAAATTCCTCCTGGACAGAAGGTTGAAATGTAGGGCATGTCCTGGAAAAGAAGGATGTCTGGTCATCTTGGTTCTTGTTGGTTTAAAAACAACAACCACCCACACATGCTAATATAGACATCTCAATGCCAACGTTACTTAGATATTGTGTAGGGCCAAACTAATGCTCCAAAGATGTCAGCTCCATCACCTAAACTTTGCTAAGCCTTTCTTCAATTCCCAAAGTCTGGGAACAGGCTTTGGAAGGGCTTCCTTTTAACAGCCTTATTTTTCTTTCTTTCCTTTTCTTTTTGAGATAGAAAAGTTGTCCCTTTAGCATGGGACTCAGCATAAGTTGCTTCTAAGAAGGTGGGGTGGTGGTAGATCAGTTGGGAGAAGAGAACTTTGCCCCCTCCCCAAAAAAACCCCTTTTTTGTTATTCCAAGTTGTCTTGTGTTTAGAGAATCCGACTTCTCATGGAATTTAATCTTCCCAGCTCCGAGCTGCAAAGAAATCTGTTCCTTTGCTTTTCATGTAAATTGACGATTGGAGATAACAGTGAGGGTCTTTGTGCTTTGATTTGGCATTTCAGCAAGGAGATCCATCTGCTTGCACTTACAGGCTACAGGCGTAGTCTGCATGCGATTATGGAGTTTATGGCCTCGCTAAAGGATTGACAGATTTTATGAACTGATAGGAGACCTTTATCAATTCACAAATCCTCAAATCACCAAGGTGGGGAGGGAGAAGAAGGCAAACTGTAAAAAGGAGAAAAGAAGCAGGGGAAACATTGTAAAAAGAAATTAAAAATCTGGTTTACGCTCCTAACTGGGATAACCTCTGTGGATGCTCTCCAGAGGGGGATGGAGACACAAATGGAGAAGATTGGAAAGATAACTGGTCAGTTTGATGCCAGCTCCTTCTTGGCTGAATGTCACACATTGCAGCCTGTTGTTGGTCTGAGTTTCCTGTATCACAGAGAGCTTGTTATAGAAGTTTAACAATTTTTATCTGAACAATTTAGCCATGTTTTTGAGAGATGCAGAAAGAACTACTTAGTGGTGCATGTCCCTCTCTGTGGTTAGGATTGGCAGATCTCCAGGCCTGGCCCTAAGTTTCCACTTTTTGTGTATCATCTCCAGATGGTAGATGAAGGTGCAAATTCTCCATTTTTCATGGCCTCAGCTCTAGGCAAGATGAAAGGGATGTGTAAAGCTCCACCTCAGCTCCATGCACCAAGATACGAAATCTCATGCTTCCAGCTTCTTTCTTTCAGTTAATATCAAAGGTGCTACAAGATCCCTTTGCAAACTGTCCTTCCACAACAACCATGAAGTACATATGCTGGTGTAATGGGAGGTTAGGCCAGTATATGTCACCCACAGATTTCCAGCCCTGGTGTTACCAAAGTCTTTCTCCTCTGGATTATTGATCTCAGCTGCAGTAGACCTAGTGCATAAATGGCAACCTGTTAGGGCAACATTTTTAAACTTCAGTTGTTTCAATGGGTCTATTCTACTTGGGCAAACAATTGGATTTATGCCTCTGACTTCTTGCTGAATGTGTTCTAGTAGCTGCTTAGCACTGTGTGTTGGCACCAGTGTTTATTCTGAAAAGTACAAGTTCGTTGATTCTAAATCATTTCCATTTGCCTTCTTCTAAGGGCAATGGTACCATTGCAACACCCAACCACCGGGCACGGAAAACCCAGAAATGAAGCTTTGCTTTTTTAAAAAAGCATGTTCTGGAAAGTGACTCCTTTCCAATTTTTTAAAATTAAATTTAAAAAGTAACAACCCAAGAACATATGGTTTAATTCAGAATGGAAAGCAAACATCTTCCAACATGTTCCTACCACTATTCAGCTTTTCTTTAAGACAAATTATTGACCTGTATGGATTTTGAGGAAACCATTGATGAAAAGAAACCCTGAAGGATCCATTGGCAGTTGGAATAGGTAGTACTGAACTATATGGACCAAGGGTCTGACTCTGTAAAAGGCAGATTCCTTCTTATGCTGCTGCCACACTGCAAAAATAAGGCAGTTTAACACCACTTTAAGTGCCATGTCTCCAACCTATGAAATCCTGGGACCAGAGCTCTTCGACAGGGGAGACTAAATATCTCACAAATCTACAAATCCCAGAATTCCATAGCATTGAGTCATGGCAGTTAAAGTGGCATCAATTTGTATAATTCCTACAGTGTGGCAGCAAGCCTTAGTTTAAGCCTTAAATGTTTGCTTTTCTACCATTCACAATTTTCCATTTTTTTGTTTTTACAGGAATGTTAGAAAGAAGAAACTTCAATAAAAATGTGTGTGGCACATGCAAAGACAGGATAATAACATGAATAAATGTCTTTTAAAAGCCAGATAATGCCATCACTACAAGAGTATGGAAGTAACTAGTTACAAATAAATAACTAGCGGGCCACAATTGACAGGTCCCTTTATTCACAGAGTCGCCATAAATCGAAGTCAGCTTGATGGCAAATAGCACCAACAAACGTTACTATACTGCAAAAGTGCTATTCAATGAACACATTGATTCATTACATTACTGCACCACTCAGATGGTTTTATTTTTTTTTTAAGTGAAAGGAGAAGAAACGGAGACAGTTTTGTTCTGATATGTTTTGAAATTTAAAAGAAACACACTTTAGGGTGAAAATAAAATGTATCTGCTGATGCTAGGAATTGCTTGGAAATAAACTGGGACAGTAGAAACTTCATTTGGATCTCTCTCTCTCTCTCTCTCTCTCTCTCTCTCTCTCTCTCTCTATATATATATATATATTGAGAACTACAGTAATAAATACAGTGATTTTTTGATACTTTTCGTCCGCCTGGAGAAACTCTTGAATCCCTAGGTTGAGATACTAAACTCTCACCTTGTTTTTTCCTAAAAGGATCCTTCATCTTTAAAACACAGAAGGCACAAGATGTGCCTCCCCATGCAAAAGGGCAAGAATGTCATTTGGGTCATTTTGGAGTAGAATTTAGCAATACCTGAAAATTTTCAGACAGGATGGAAAGAACAGGAGTTTAAAAGCAATGAAAGAGACAAAAAAGTTTTGAACAGGGTGTAGAAAGAGACATTAACAGAATCACTTTTAGAGAGGAGCAAATTTCATTTCGGTTCCTTTTTGAAGGAGCTACCCATATTTGAAAATTTCTTCATGTTTCCAACACAGCCTTAGGCTTGAGAAAAAATATGTCAAATGCAAAAAAAAAAAAAAAGGAAAGGAAAGGAAAACAGATGTTTTTCAATCCCCCATCAGGAAAATGGAATAAAATGTGTGTGTATGTATAAATTTTATAGGATTGCTATTGGTAGCCCAAAGTCCCCCTGTTTTTGTCCCCTATGGGTTGTCAGAGGGCAGCATGCCACACATGATGAAGCTGTACATGAAATGGCTCTGGTTGCAGAAACTCTGGCAGCACACACAAAACCAGCCTTCATTGTGTCTCAGCTCCAGGCAAAATTTATTTTCTGAGATTAATGTTGCTTTTATGCTCTTGAGGACTGGCCAAGCTTCTTGCACAGCCCTGAATTCCCATTACTGTCTGGCAGCCTTTTAACACAATCACTCACAGCTCTGAGCACAGCAGCCTGAAAGCCAGGGCCAGATCTGGAGGGGCAGCGAGGTCAGGCAGTTGTGCTTTGGAGGCCTCGAGGCTCTTGTCCCAAGAGCACCACCACGCCATCCTCTCTTTACACTGGGCA